GTAGACAATGTACAGTTGAGCAGAAGATGGTTTTATGGCAAAATTGTGCAGCTGTGTATGCAAAACAGGGAGAGGAGAATAGGAAGTACAAACACCACATTTGTGGGCATATCTACACTTGAAGGAAGGGTGTGATTCCCGGGTTCAGTAGGTATATTCTCACTGGCTCTCGTTGATCTCAAGTGCTAAAGTAGTAGTATAGCCATGGTAGCTCAAAGGTCAGTGAGTGGAGACAAGAACTAGTTGCTCAAAGTACATACCTGTCTGAACCCCAGGGGTAAATGCCTGGGGTGGCTAGCCTGTGTTATGGCAGCTAAGATACTATCTTTAGAGTGCTACCTTAGAGCTATGTCTGCGTGACCTGGGAATCAGAACTCTAGCTCCAAGGAATCAACACTTGGCTGTTGTTTGAAAGATTAACAAATGAAAGATGTGAAAGGAAAAGCTTTAAAGGAAGAATTTGTAGATAACTTCTGATTCCTTGCAGTTTATTTTTGCAAAGAGCATGAATTATCAGTGCATATGCAGGCAAAAGGAAGGTGGTGCTTACTCTATATACAGTAACATGCAGGCTTGTACCCTAACCCACAGACCAACCTGATCCCTGGCCCCCCCCCCTGCTCTGTCACAAAGAGCACGCAGCATGACCTGTGGGAGTTTGCTTATAGGCCAAAAGTTGAGTGAAAATCTCTCCTCCGCTTACTTTGGGATAGAGCATCTATCAGTGAAGTATCTTAACGGTGATATTGTGGTCTGCCCCAAGCATACTGGGCAACCAGCATAGCCAGAAACTCAAAAGGTGGCAGCAGAGTATTTATTGACGAGAACGGAAACCACATTACAAAGTGGTTTAAGCAGAATATCTCTCAGTGTAGGAGGAAGCTCACTCTATTTTTAATTTTTGACATAACTTAAGGCTTTGCCCTGTGGCCATAGAAAAGTCCTGGAAATAAAAAACATGTGTCACTTTTCTTCATAATCTGTGCACTCCAGAATATTTAACAATAATTTGAAAATTGGATTAGTAAGAATGGGTATACTAGACCAGACCAAGGGTCCATCAAGCCCCACATTCTGTTTTCCAAAGCTGCCAGTCCCACATGCTTCCAAGGGAATGAAAAGAACAATGCAGTTAACAAGTGATCCATCCTCTGTCTCATCCAATCACAGCTTCTGGCAGTCAGACATTTTGGGACACCCAGAACATGGGGTTGTATCCATGATCATTTTGGCTACCAGCCATTGATGTACCAATGCTCCATAAAATTATCTAATTCTCTTTTGACCTTTGCAACATCTTCTTGTTAAGGGCAGATAATTCACTAATTGTGTAGTTGATAATTGATAAGCGAAGAAGCTCTCAGTCCCAGATTGTACGAAATCTGGAAGCTATCCGTGCTGCAGCTCTGCAGTTTAAATGTAGTAAGAGCCGGGTGGGCAGGTAGCCTGGCTCCTATTACGTTTAAACTGCAAAGCCATATCCAGCGTAGAACCCGGACCCGACACAAGCCTAGGGTTATCGGTTGGTCAACTACTCACTTACATCCCTACTTGCAACTAGAGCCACAAGATGACTGTGTGTTGTATGAAAAAAATACTAAATAATATTTGTTTTAAATGTGCTGCTTATTAATTGCATTGGGTGACTCCTGGTTCTTGTGCTATGTGAAGGGGTAAATAAGACTTTCTTATTTACTTTCTCCACACTATTTATGTTTTAGAGAGCTGTCATCCCCCCCCCCTCAACATCTCTTTCCCAAATTTGACTGTCCTGGTATTATTACCCTTTGCTGATATGGAAACTGTTCCATATTCCTAATAATTATTTTTCCCTTATATGTACTTTTCCCCAATTCTAAAATGTCTTTTTAGCAAAGGGATAACCCGCACTGCACACAGTAGTTAAGGTGTTAACATACCAAGGAATTTTTTTACTAGCATTATGATATTTTCTGACTTATTGTCTACCCCTTTCCCAGTGTTTCCTAACATTTGGTTAGCTTTTTTAGACTGCTGCTGCACACTAAGCAGATGTTTTCAGAAAACTATCTATGAGGAATTCAAGATCTTTTTTCTTGAGAAGTAACAGCTACTTCAGGCATCTCCATTTTGGATGCATAGTTGAGATGTTCATGTTAACTTCTCTGACTCATTTATTAAAGCTCTTGATGCACTACCGCTGCACTACCACAAGCAAGGCAAACAGACTGCTAGAATGTCACTGAAGGCTGTCCAGAGTCTAGAAGGAAGGCTACTGAGGGAATGTAGAAATCCTTCTTTCCTTCTGTCTTGAAAATGTGTGGGGTCAACACAGCTGAGGGAACAAATTTAAACAACTTTGCTGTTTTATCTGTTAGTAAATACAGACTTGAACTGATTTTTAGAAAACTCCTTCTTGATCCTGTAAACAAAGGAGAGAGAAAGTTCCAAAAGAATAAAAACCTGAAAGTTTGGCTTTGATTTGTTATTTACAGGTTGGGAAGTATGCTTGTTTCCAGTTCTTTCAAATAAACTAGGAAACCGGATAACTGTTAACACTGAAAACTAACATCTGGGACTACTGAGAGAGGTTACTGCCCACTTCCTCAGGAAGACATTAATAGTTGTCAGCTCATCACTTATTGATGCCTTTTCTTATCACAGTACACACTGGAAATCTCACTAAACTATACATTTTAAAATTATCACTAATGTTAATGATTTTTAAATCTAAAGGGTCTTTAATAAAGAAACTATGACAAAGTATATGGGGATGATGCTGATTACAACTATAATGCTTCCAAAAGAAAAAGGGAAATATTAATGCCTTTATACAAAGCACTGATGAGACTTCACCTGGAGCAATTCTGGTTACCCACACTGAAGAAAGATAAATTCAAACTGGTTCAGGTGCATAAAAGGGCTACTAGCATGATCAGGGAACAAAAAGCCTAAAAAGTAAGTGGAGACTAAAGAGTTTGGCTTGTTTAGCCTAACCAAATGAAGGCTAAGGGGAAATACAATTGCTCTCTATAAATCAATCAATTGGTAAACATCAGGGGGAGAGAAGAATTATTTATGCTGAAGGAAAATGTTGGCACAAGAACAGATGGGTATAAACTGGCCATGAATAGATTTAGGCTGAAAATTTCCACTTATCAGTGGAGTGAATTTCTTGAATAGACTTCGAACAAGAGTAGCAGGAAAAACCACTAATTAATGCTAAGATGGAGTTTGATACATTTATGAATGGGGTTATGAAATGAAATTGGCTATGATAGCAGGACTGAACTTGACAACCCTGGGGGTCCCTTCCAGTCCTGTGTTCCTGTACAAACATGCATTTTAAGTAGCTCACTCATACTTAAGACTGTTTATGAAAGCAAAAAACACAGGAAAAGCCATAATCTTAGCTCAAACTGGAATCATAGTGGCATTTAATATTTAGAGAAAATACATTTTCTATTAGAACACATGAAATAGCTATCATGAATAGTTTAAAAACACATACACATAGCAAAATATCACACACTCAAAAGCCAAATGCACAGTCATGATCTTGCCTTTATCCACAACATTGATAAGACCACAACTAGAATACTTAGTCCAATTCTGGTGCTCAAAAAAGTTGTGGTAATAATGGAGAGAGAGATTTCAATGCAGACTCACAAAAATGACCCAGAGATTGTAAAACAAGCCTCATGATGTTAGGCCTAAGGAGCTCATCTTATTTCTGGGAAGGGTTGAAGTTAGCTTTGAGTTATTCCTTGGTATCAACAGTTGGCCTGAAAGTGCTACTAACCATGAATTATCGGAAAGAGTAAGATTCAAGCCAGGGAAATTCTTCCCCATCCCCCAAAATAACTGACTATCAAACAATGTATTTTTCTAATTCCTTGTCTATATGTTTTTGGGTGGATCATTTCCTAAATATATCAGGCCATGCTATTTACCTGGTTTTGCAGAATCAAGAACATTGTGTGACTCTCCCCCCCCACCTCCCCAAGGAATTTCACAGATTAACCCCCCCCCCCCCAAAAAAAACCCCCCGGGCGAAAGGGTTTACAGA